TGTGCGTGTGCGTGTGCGTGTGTGTGTGTGTGTGTGTGTGTGTGTGTGTGTGTGTGTGTGTGTGTGAATGTTTGGTCACCCGGGTCTTTTTTTTGCCTACTGTTTTATAAATACTGTTCATTCAGAATTCTTGGCTTAGAGCAAAACAAAAAAGTCAACAGATGAAGCAATCCATAAAGTTTCAAGAAAAAAAAAAATTATTACTATCAAAAATGTGTTCCAAAATACTATTAAGTCAAAATTTCATAGGAAATGGAATTTTGACCCACTTTATGCATTGTTGAGTTAGTGATAAAAAAAAAATTCTCGTCCTATGACAAAAAAAAATATGAAAATAGCATTGATTAGGGCCAGAAACGAGTTTTTGAGAAATTCATTGAATATCAAATAAATGTTTTTATCAATAAAATATTTAAAAAATCACAACTTACCAGTCAATTTGACCCCAAATATGCGTTCTAGGGTTATAATAGCTGTTTAGCATTTTTAACTCCATATCAAGTTATCTCTGTCTCTTGTCACTTTGAAAAGTGGAGTCATTGTTGCCCAAGTACCAAATCAAATACATGCTGTCTTGTGTGTATTGGCAACACGAGCAAAGCCATGTGACATTGATACATTTTATTGTGATACTTGATAGCATTTTAATAGCAGTATTTCTGGAGTTGTCATGTCCTCCCATCCAGAGAGTGAGGTGTGATATGGTTTAATAAACTGGAACTGCTATCGCTATAAAACGTTTTTTGATCGCTTAGAGGATTTTTGTAGTGCAACACATGGTTTTAATGCAGCACAGCCCTTCAGTCCATCATAAACGAAAGCCTGCTTTGTCATTACAGGCGTAATCAGAGACTTATCATCTGTTTCTGTTCATATCTCAGGTTTTTGTAAGAGTATTTGTTAGCTTGACCTTTATTTGACTGCTTGTTTTGTCAGTCCGACAGGTTTTGCTGATAACGGCTGTGTAAAGACGCCAATATCTCCTTGCTATCTACAGCTAATTATCAGAGGTCTGAGAAATATGACGGGCAGCTCTGTTTACGTCTATCAAAACAACGTTAACGTGCTACTGAATGTTAATAGATTCACTTTAATGGATGCCCAGTTTGCCGGAAAGCCCTTGTTAAATGATTTGTATTGTGTCAAAAGTCATTTGGCGACACATGATGGAATGCAATAGAGGAAAGCAGGTTGCCATTTCAATGTAACTGGCCAGTGGTCAAGATGGAACCGTGTCCGCCTGTGACGCGAACGGCAAAATGTCACCGTCTCATTCCGAGTTGTTTAGCGAAGGGATTTCGGAGCTGGATGAAATCAGGACACTAGCTCAGATTTGCTGTTTCAATCAGAAGGGGTTATTTGGAAACAAGCTTGAGGATTGATCGTTTCATAAATTCTGATCACCTACGTTGACCTCAACTTGACAGTAATTGGAAATGGGTCATTTAGTGAGCAAAGACAATAACGCCAAGGTGAACAGAAGGAGGGGTATAGGGAGCGATATTACTCGTTACTCGAGGATTCATAGCGCAACCTCAATTCATCTGGTCCATCAGTCCTTATCGATCTCAGCAGATAAATCTGCCAAGAGCCATGTGGGTACATGAGAAGTAGAGAGTGAGCCGGGCCAATTTTGGTGTCATCGAAAGGATGGGAATCATTTTTCTTGGATATGCGTTTTTTAAAGGGATAGTTCACCCAAAAATACTGTTATCAGTTACTCACCCTCAATTTGTTTCAACCTTATGAGTTCTGTTGAGCACAAAAGAAGATATTTTGAAGAATGTTGGTAACCGTAGTTGACGGTAGCCATTGACTTCCATAGTATGAAAAAATACTATGGAAGTCAATGGCTACCATCAGGTTCACATTCTTCAAAATATATTTTTTTGTGTGTTCAACAGAAGAAAGAAACTCTTACAGATTTGGAGCGACATGAGGGTGAGTAAATAATGACAGATTTTTTTATTTTTGGGTGAACTGTCCCTTCAAGATGTTTTGCTGGTGAAATTACAAATAATTTAAATATTGTGTCACTGTTTTTGTAAAATTGTGTGAATGCTTTCTACTTTTGTGTCATTGCATGTGATTTGCTGTGAATGGTTATTAATATTTAATCTTTTCTGTCGGTTGATAGGAATGAAGATGCTATCAATCAAATGGCTGTCGCTCCTTTTCCTTCCCAGCCTTCCTTGTTCTACTCCAGTGAGGTACGGTACATTATGAACAGACATATATGACTTAATTAGAATCTGTGTTAACGGAGTTTTGTCCAGTTTTAAGTATAAATGAATGTGTTAATGTAATATTTTAAAATCTAGATATCACATTTGATATTTAATATATTGTATTATTATATTATATATTATTATATGAATCTGATATTTTATTTATTTATTGCATAAATTGCCTGTTTTGTTCTAATCATTTTGTCAACCACCATAAAAACTCATTGGTCCAAAGTCATGCTCCACATAACATAAATGTCATGCGTATTGCTCATGTTATGCTTTCAAGAAAAAAGTAAATAAATAAATACATACATTTTTTAAATTATAAAAATATATATTTTAATTTAAACACAAATTAATACATTTGAAAGGAACACTCCACTATTTTTGAAAATAGGCTTATTTTCCAACTCCCCTAGAGTTAAACAGTTGAGTTTTACCGTTTTCGAATCCATTCAGCCGATCTCCGGGTCTGGCGGTAGCACTTTTAGCTGTAGCTTAGCATAGATCATTGAATCTGATTAGACCGTTAGCATCTCGCTCAAAAATGACCAAAGAGTTTCTATATTTTTCCTATTTAAAACTTGTCTCTTCTGTAGTTACATCGTGTACTAAGACCGACGGAAAATTAAAAGTTGCGATTTTCTAGGCCGTTATGGCTAGGAACTATACTCTCATTCCGGCGTAATAATCAAGGAACTTTGCTGCCGTACCATGGGTGCAGCAGGCGCAATGATATTACGCAGCGCCAGGAAATAGTCCCCAGCACGTTCCCTGTGCAAGCAGGGAGAGTATAGTTCCTAGCCATATCGGCCTAGTATAAAATTGCAACTTTTCGTTTTCCGTCGGTCTTAGTACACGATGTAACTACAGAAGAGTCAAGTTTTAAATAGGAAAAATATCGAAACTCTTTGGTCATTTTTGAGCGAGATGCTAACGGTCTAATCAGATTCAATGATCTATGCTAAGCTGCAGCTAAAAGTGCTACCGCCAGACCCGGAGATCGGCTGAATGGATTCGAAAACGGTAAACCTCAACTGTTTAACTCTAGGGGAGTTGGAAAATAAGCCTATTTTCAAAAATAGTGGAGTGTTCCTTTAAATACATTTGTTCATTTAATGTTTAAAAATATAGATAACACATTTAATATTTAATATATTAACATTAACCTGTTATTGTTATTATTCTATTATTAGATTATATATTATTGTTTTAATATGATCTTTTATTTATCTATTTATGTATTTTTCGCATTAATTGCCTGTTTTGTTATAACCACATCAAGCAATGTGTTATAGCACGATTTTGTTGGCCACCATGAAAACTCAATGGTCCAAAATTATGTTCCACATTGAATATGCTGTGCCACAATCTACAGCAATTTCACTTTCAGGAAAAAATATTTTAAAATAATAATTTAAAAAATAAAAAACTTTACAAATTATTATTACATTTTTACATTTTACGTGTACAAATAAATATAGATGTCACATTTAATATTTAATATATTAATAATAAATAGTTTTTTCTTTTATTTCTATGACAATATTTAATTTTTTTATTCATTCATGTACTTACTTAATTCTTTCATTTATTGAGGTAATTAGAGGTCCTCACCCCTTCCTGCACTGCTAAAAGTTAGAAGAGTTCAGCTGATTTCAGAACTGTTTTTCAGACACATCTAAATATGCCAGCAGTTCCAGCTCCAGCAGAGAAGCCACAGTTACCCGAGAGCCTCCCTCTGAGCAGAAACTCACCTGAGCCGCCGATAATCAAGGTATTGATTATACAAATATTAATAATTATACACGAATAAAGATTCTATAAAAATACTGTTTCATATAGAGTCTAATAAAAGTGAAGAATGCAGTGAATAAAAAAAAATTCACTTCAGTCTGTTATGCTTGTAAGCCAGACTTTTCAACAGATATGATGCAAGAACATAGCAACTATTGCCATCATTATAAAAAGAATAATGACTCTTGACTCAGCGTTTTACGACTCTATCCCATCTCCCCTCGCTTTCATCCCCTCATTGTCGGTCTGAGTTCGGACCAGCTGTTTCTGCCCTAAATGTGGATTTGTTTTTCGATAAACAAACAGGCGCTTCACTCTAAACAGCAGCTCATTGTCATCGGCTGCCTCTAGCTTAACTCTGTCCTAGATGGAGGCAGCAAATGCGGTTTTGACCTAGTTGAGGCTCTAGGCCTCGCACTTTATTTTACCTGTTTGCCTGACTCCTCATACAGGATCAGCCGAGCGTGGTGCGGCCCGTGAGCTCCACTCAGACAGATCAGATGCAGGAGACTTTCAGAGATGAAGAGTCAGCATTGAAGGTGAGGAACACCTAAGAAGATCTCAATGAGTATGTTCAGAATCATATAGTACTTGTACTATATTTGCAAAATGTATACTGTGCTCAGTATGCTATGCAATTTATTGTATATGTAAAATGCCCATATAAATAATTTGTTATTATTTAGTATTTATAAGTCAATTTTGAAAATTGCAAAATTACCTATTTTTTTCCACGACAATAGGCAAACATCCAGCATAATGATGTAATGTTAAAGCATTTTTAATTTAATGAGTGACTTTTAGTTGTAGTATGCATATTTATACTGAAATTAATATACTTTGCCAATTTTCTGTATTAATGCAATAGCTACATAAATTATTTATATTGTTTTAATTATTTATATTTATTTATATGTATTTATATTATTTATAATTAAATAGTTATGTAAATCTTAAATATATTTATAAATGTATAAATATCTTAAATAAAAATATTTTTTTATTTATTTAAGATATTTATAATATCTATATTTAAATGTACATTTATGAACAGACAGACAGACAGATAGATAGATAGATAGATTATTATATATGCTTTTGAATATAGAATATGCTTTAATATGCACTATAATATACCTATTATTAATAAATAGATATATAAAATACCCATATATTTATAAATGTGTTATTTATATTATATATTTTTCCTTTCTTCTTTTTTTTTTTTTTTACATCATAACTTTTTTTTTAAATCCTGATTATTTTCAGTAAATGTACATTTATGAACAGACAGACAGACAGATAGATAGATAGATAGATTATTATATATGCTTTTGAATATAGAATATGCTTTAATATGCACTATAATATACCTATTATTAATAAATAGATATATAAAATACCCATATATTTATAAATGTGTTATTTATATTATATATTTTTCCTTTCTTCTTTTTTTTTTTTTTTACATCATAACTTTTTTTTTAAATCCTGAATCTTTTTTATTTTCAGCTTTAAAATTTTGAATACCAGATTTTTAATGCAGCCAATGTATTTATGGACATTTTTTAAAAATGTTTAAAATTCCTATCCTTGCCGTTTTACTCATGAATCAAAAAGTGCCATGAATGTTAGTTTCATAATTGCTCCATTAAATTTGGGTTGTGTAGTCTGTTATACTGAGTGATAGAACTAATTACGGTCTATTAATCTTCTCAGAAGCTGAAATCCTCAGAGAAGATATTGGAGTCTCCAAGCGAACAGTCACCCAAGCCTCTTGTGGAGCAGGTGTGTTTGTTCATTCAAGTATATGTTTGTGCTACACAAAACACCATTTGCAACACATTTAACTTTCTTAGTCATCATTAATGCATTAATTTTGAGTTCCTTTTAACTTTGAGTTGCATGTGAGTTGGATGAGATTTTTACTCATTTAAACAGGTGCCAAAACATGAAAGCTCTGCCTAGACAAAACATGGCAGCCGTTAGTAAACAGTCTAACCTCTGTGTCTCTCTCCTGCAAACTCGCCCTTGTCCTGGATCGTCTCCAGATCACCAGTCTTCCAAATATCCAGAGGAATTCCACCAGGCCCTCAGCCAGTTCTCTGGAGGTCACATCCTTGGGATCATCCGTGCCAGTCTCTGGCACCAGCCCTGACTTCGAGTACTGCAGCAAAGGTGCAACACGCTCAGTGTCACAGATTTTGTTTAAAACACTTTATGTTGTTACTTTAATTTTCATGTTCATGAGCTGCAATCTGTGGTCCCCAAATGCATGTTTAATCAAGACTGAAATTAAAACAACACAGCGCTGCCATGTGGATTTGCCTCTGCCTCTTTGAGCACTGACAGTTGTTTTTTCCAAGAGGAATTCATTTTCTTTTCACTCTGACTGTTTTTAAAAACACAGAACATGAAGGACTTGCATCATCTTTATCTCTCTCTGTGTGTTTCAGACCCTGCTACGTGTCCCATAGTTCCAGGACAAGAGACTGTTATTGAGATTTCTAAAGGCCGGTCTGGACTAGGTCTCAGTATAGTCGGCGGCAAAGATACGCAGCTGGTATGATACCAGAAATAAAATGTGCTTTGCTTTATTTTGTACGTTTTTGCTTTTTTTTATTAATTGTTTTTGTTTGTTTTTCGCTATTATTTTTCTGTATTGTTTATTTGTTTTGTTTTGTTGTTGTTTTTTCTGTTTTGTTTTGTTTTGCCTTGCCTTTTGTATTTGTTTTAATTTTACTATATTTTTTGGTTTTGTTTGTTTTTTGCATTTTTTCTGTTTTTTATTTTGTCTTAGTTTTTTGCAATTTTGCCTTTTTGTTTTCTTTTTTTTGTGCGTTTGTCTTTTGTATTTGTTTTTTTTTCTGTTCAGTTTTTGCTGTCTTTTGTTTTTTATTTTGTTTTTTGTTTTGTCATTCTTTTGTATTTGTTTACATTTTTGCTAGGTTTTTTATTGATTGTTTCTTTTTATGTTTTTTGTTCAGTTTTGTTTTATTTTAATTTGTTGTTTTTCTTTTGTCTTGTATGTGTTTAGTTTTTGTCTTTCTGTTTTGTTTTTCTTTTTAGTTTTTGATTTGTCTTGTGTTTGTTTTAATTTTTGCTTTTTTATTTTCTTTGTTTATATTTTGTATTTTATTTGTATTTTTCTCATTTTTTTCTATATAGTTTTCATCTTTCGGCTTTTTGTTTTTGTGTTTAGTTTTGTCTTTTGTTTTTTTCTGTTGTATTTTTTTTTGTATTATGTTTTTTGTATTTTTTTCTGTTTTATGATTTCAGTTTTATAAATCAGTGATTTAAGTGTTAGTTAGCAAAAAGGCAGAAATCACATACAGCTCCTTTTATTGAAACATGCATGAATGAGTCATTTTAATGTCAAATTCAGTCAATAGCACATTTATTGTTGTTGATTGCTTATTTTTTACCTAGATTTGGTAGCATACACACCCAGGATGCTTTCTTATGTTAAAAAATAGCTAGATAAAAATGACAGGGCTTATTCTTTCTAGTGTGCCGCAGGGCTGCATCGGAACAGGCAGGTCACAGCAGGAGCTTTTTGTCTGCCCTGACTTTCTCTGCCCGACTGCAGAGACAAGCATCGCTTTTTATCAGTGTACTGCCACCTCGCCATCATAATTCTGCAGCGCTCCAGCTCTGTGGGCTAGTTTAGCTGTCAAAGGCTTCCATGAGTCAACAAAACCAGCCCTCGGGCTCCACAGGTTTTCAGCAGAAAAAAAAATGTTTCGTGTGTGTTTTTATAAAAAAGGATTTTAAAGGTGAAGGGGAGCAGAAATTATGCATCCTCATGTCGCTCCAAATCAGTACGATGTACTCGCTTCTGTGGAACACAAAAGAAGATATTTCAGAAAATGTGCAGGTTACTCTTTTCCATTCAGTTACAAATAATAGTGACTAAAGCTTTCAAGCTTCAATAAAGGATGCAAATAAAAGTATCATAAAATTGATCCGTATGACACATGCACTATATTACTTGTGTTACAAAGGCTTTGTACGAGGAACAGACTGACAATTTTTGTTATCAGTTATTCTGTGATAATCTTTTCCTCCTGTGAGCTCTTTACCGAATGAAGTCAGTGAGTTGAACTCGAGAACCTGATCAGTTTAATTCGTAAACAAATCATTCAATTTTTGTGAACTGAGAGAGATTCATTGAAAAGATCTGATTGAAAAGAATGATTGATTCACAAAAGTAGAAAATGTAAAGATTTTCAGTGCATTATGACCAGTGTAGATATTGTCAACTAAAATTAAAACTATTAAAAATAGTTTTCAGTAATTAAAATACAGCTGAAATACTATAAAATTGAAATATTACATGAAAATCTTTATCAAGGATTTTGCTTTGGCAACTAAATATAATTTAGGTTGAAGTACTAAAGCACTAAAAATGACTGAAGTATTAAAATTACTAAAACTAAAACTGAAATAAAAATAAATAGCTGTGTAGAAATAGAAAACAAAAAATGACAAGCACACAAAATGTACTAAATCTTAAACTAAAATGGAAAATAAGCTAATTTTAATATTAATCACTAATAAGTTCATTTTAACTTTTATTGTTTTTGCACATAAATCTATGGTATGATTTCAGAAGACTTGAAAGATGGCTAAAGAGTCAATTTTTGTTACTTTTGTATCCTTTATGAAGCTTTGAAGCTTCAATTTCTGTTCATTGTAATTGTTCCGTTTCATATGCATTTGAAACAATGTAAGGCTGAGTAAATGATGACAGAATTTGTAGGTGAGCTGTTCCTTTAAGAAACAAGTGATAGGAATTTATAGTTTCTTTCTCTTTTTTTGTCATATTTCTCCTCTTCACACATATTTCTCCTCTTTTCAGGATGCCATAGTGATTCATGAAGTGTATGAGGAGGGGGCGGCAGCGCGGGACGGTCGTGTCTGGGCCGGAGATCAGATTCTCGAGGTCTGTTTGTGTGTATGAGGGAGTGTGTTGTAAGGTTGTAGAGCGGGACGCCTCTGTAATGTCACTGACAGCTGGTCTGCCTTGAGCAAAATGGAAATTTGACGGCATTATTGTGAATTATTATAGATCTGAACAGTGCTTCTCTGTATTTAACTTTGACAATAGCGCCATCTTCTGTACATAGAGTAGTGTCAACATAAGCTTTTGCTATGTGCTGAATGTGCTGCATTTATTTCATCATGAATTAGATTTTATTTTTATATTTTCATATTTCTTTTTAATTTCAGTTGACTTTTTAGTAATTTTGTGCCATTTTTATTGTTTTTTTTTATTATATATATTTTTTAAGTAATTCTCTATAGCGTTAATTTTGCATAATTGTATTATTGGTAAATGCGTAAGGAGACTGTGTTCTCTGGCGCCCCCTGCAGGTGAATGGAGTAGATCTGCGGAGCGTGGCTCATGAAGATGCAATAGCTGCTCTACGGCAAACACCGGCCAAAGTGCGGTTGACAGTCCTGCGCGACGAGGCGCAATACAGGGACGAGGAGAACCTCGACATGTTCCGTGTTGAACTTCAGAAGAGAACCGGGCGGGGGCTGGGCCTGAGCATCGTTGGGAAGAGGTGAGTGCAAGTTTGTTTTCCTTATGAGGAGAAAAGGGAAAGAATGGAAAAAACAGTAATCATTTTAAAATGAAAAGATAAATAAAATGCACAATACAATAGTAATCATTTTAAAATAATATCATGAAATAAAAAGCTCAATAAAATATTATTTTAAAGTAGTATCTTAATAAAATGCAGAGTACAGTAATTTTGAAAATAATATAATAAAATGCACAGTACAATAATGTTTTAATTGGCAATAAAGTTTTTTTCAAATAAATAAAACAAATTATAATAAAATAATCATTATTTTAAAATAATAAAAATGCACAATATCATATTTTAAAATAATATATTTACATTTAAATTTATTCATTTAGCAGACACTTTTATTCAAAGCAACTTGTCAATAAAATGCACAGTACAATAATCATTTTGAAATAAAATAATAGAATGAAATGCACAATACACTAATTCAAAATAAGATCAAATGTACAATGCAGTAAAAATCATTTTAAAAATAATATAATAAAATAAAAACTAAAATAATATTAGTAGTTTTACACAGTAAAAGTTTTGAAAAAAATAATAAGTTATGCTATAATACTATAATAATTTTTAAATAATACAATAAAATAAAATGCACCAAATAATAATCATTTTAAAATAAAATAATAAAATTAAATGCACAATACAATAATATAAAAAAATAAAATAAAACAATCTGCACAATACAGTAACTATTTTGGTTGTACACAAACATGACACTAAATTTCCTCGTTCTCCTTTTCTCCCTCTTCAGAAATGGTAAGGGTGTGTTCATCTCGGATGTGGTGAAGAGCGGAGCGGCTGATCTGGACGGCAGACTGATGCAGGGTGATCAGATCCTGTCTGTGGATGGAGAGGACATGAGACAGGCCTCACAGGAGACCGTCGCTGCCATTCTCAAGGTGAGCTCCACCTCAATCCTAAAACCCAAAGCCCAGTTTACAACCTGTTTCAAAACTAGATTACAAGAGCAGAGTTAGTTGGAGCGGCAGTTGCAATATGCTGCCACTAGGTGTCGCTGTTTGGTTGTGTATTTAGTGGCTGTTGAGGCCTGTGGTATTTATAAACAATTTCGGATTTCTTATTTAAACATTTTGTTTTGTCTGCAGTTACAGTAATGATTTCAAGAAGATTTTATATAAAAAAAATGTTTGCAATGTTCATTCCTATTAAAAAGAGCTTGAAGAATTCATGGGGGTCCAAAGTTTTATGTAGGATCACATAATTCATCTCAAGTGACAAAAACACTGAATTCCACGTCTTATAATCATAATGGCCGGTGTAGACATCATATTTACTTTTATGCATGGGCTATGATTGATAGATATGTCAGCATACAAGTTGTACTGTCAAATTGAATGTGGTATCTAACCAACCTGTTTCATTGGTTTATATGGAGTTCAAACGCATGTTCACTCTAAAACACACTTCATATAACGGTTTTGGCCTCCTGTAATAAATTTAAACAGTAGCATCACATTGGTTTATCATAGTTTTTGTTATGGTCAGCTTAGATATCAGCATATCAGCTGTTCCCAAAAATATGCTTAAAATTTGATATTAAACAATATCCAACCCAACCCTTTTGTAAGTTTTAAGATGTATTCAAATTCATGTAACGTCCTACACTAACTCCCAGAAATGTAGTTAAAAAGTTAATAACAACAAATTGAATTGAGTAATAAAATTGTTACAAATAACGCAAAAAAAAGTTAATAGAATGTTTGTTTGTATGATTTTTAGCTGAAACTGTACTAAATGTTGTTTATGTAATATACAAACACACACACACACATTTACATACAAAGATGTATATATAGGTAAGTCCATCATGTTGTTAGGATGTTTAGATTTTTTTTTATTTTAGCTTAAACATCACGTTGTGTGTGTGTGTGTGTGTGTGTGTGTGTGTGTATGTATCTATGTATATGTGTATATATATTTATATAATACACTGTTATATATTATACATATTACAATATATTATATACATTATATAGTTTATGAAAATTAATCGAAAATTGTCCATTCATGGCACTCTCTGCGGTTCTTTGGGAGGCATGTGAAAAGGCCTTCACGATTAATGTTGTGAACAGGGCAAAAAGAATCTGCAGTATTGTGCCAGTTGGTGGAATTCTGGGAAATGTTGGCTTGAATAAGGTTGCACTGAGCCCGTGTCGTTTGGCTCAATGGGTTTGGCTCTCTGGACGAGAGCGAGGGTGTTATGTTGTGGCATCAGGTCTTTGCACATGTGTAAAGGTTCTCGAAAGTATGTGAAAGTGTGTTGGTGAGGATACGAGCGAGAAGACACAGCTCACAATGCCAAAGTTGTGTGTGCGTCAACGTGTGTGCTGTGATCCTGCAGTGCGCCAGGGGCAAGGTGCTGTTGGAACTGGGCCGACTGAAGGCTGCCTCCTGGATCTCTTCCAGACGCACCTCCCAGGGAAGTCAGGTGTGTAGCCCGTGTCCTACACCTCATTGGGCTTTCCTGGCATTTCCAGAAGGTCCAGCATGCCGAACTCTAACCCAATCATTAGTGCATGTTAGCGGACGGGCGAACCAGCGGTGTATGGCTGTGGGCATCTGTGTGTGTTACTCATCCATACTGCCTGAAAAAGCAAAGGGAGTGTGTGGTTACATGTCCGCATGCGCTCACTTGTCACTAACCGTGACGTATGCATGTGCGATGGCATGAGTATTTTGTGTATATGTGTGGAATAGCACCTTCAGCGAACTCTTTCTCCTTTAGATGAGCCATGTGAGCGCCAACAGCAGCGCCCCAACCCCCACGCCCCCTGCCGTTATTCCGCCTCCCTCTCAAATCCTCAACAACAACAGCCGAAACATCACCGAGCCCAACAGCAAAAGCACAGGTACTTCTTGCACCACATCAGCACTGAAGTAGCAGGAAACAACCATAAAACGGCTATAAATCAGCCTTAAAACAACACTTTTCTTATCTGTCGACAGCGAGCGTAAGTGTTTAGAAAGTGCCTCTGTAAACAGTGTGCTTGTTTTCTTCTATTGTTTGAATTAGATTAAAATTGCGGTCACATTTGCTGTTGTTTGTCATATTTTCCAGTTATTTCGTTAGGAATCCATGCTATTGGGAATTTCGTGTAAGGGCGAAAGATTTCCCCTAGCAGGGTTTAAGTTGGTCGCACAAATTTGCCACATTGACCATCAGAAATCTACTTGGTTTTATAGTGACTTTTTTTGTTAGCTGTACTTTATACATCCCAAAGGACAATGGACCTTTTTTGCTCAAGAAATTTCGCAAAAGTTTTACTTTCAGCAACCACTTTTAATCCCATCGAGCAAGTGGGATCTCATGGTTTACTTATTTAAAGGGATAGTTCATGAACATTCTGACATTAATGTCACCCTCATGTCGTTTAAAACCCGTAAGACCTTTGTTCATCTTCGGTACACAAATTAAGATATTCTTGATGAAATCCGAGAGCTTAGAATGCATTGCAACTTCCACATTCAAGGCCCAAAAATGTAGTAAGGGCATCATTAAAATAGTCCATGTGACATCCGTGGTTCAACCGTAATGTTATGAAGCTATGAGAATACTTTTTGCGCGCAAAGAAAACAGAAATAATGACTTTATTCGACATTTCTTCTCTTCAGTGTCAGTCTTTGCCAGCATTCACAACAGTACCATGACAAATGTGTGTGATGCTGCTGGTTTAGGAGTCTGATATAGAACACACATGCACTGCACCTTGCTTGCAAAGAGAGGTACTGTCGTGGTACTGTCATGAATGCCGGTGAAGATTGACATGGAAGATAAGAAATTGTTGAATAAAGTTATTATTTTCGTTTTCTTTGAGCACAAAAAGTATTTTCGTAGCTTCATAATATTACGTTTGAACCACTGATGTCACATTGACTATTTTAACAATGTCCTTACTACCTTTCTGGGCCTTGAATGTGTGAGTTGCGTTGTTGTCTATAAAGGGTCTCTACCTTTCTGGGCCTTGAACGTGTCAGTTGTGTTGTTGTCTATGCAGGGTCAGAAAACTCTCGGATTTCATTAAAAATATCTTAATCTGTGCATCTAGAAGGTCTTATGGGTTTGGAATGACATGAGGGTGAGTAATTAATGACAGAATATTCATTTTTGGGCAAACTATCCCTTTAAACTTTTAAAGGTTTGTAAATCGAAAGTTAATGTGATTTTTATATCCCTCCAGGGACAGAGCCAGGTGTTCGGACAGTGGAGATCACACGGGTAAGCCCATTTACCTCTGAACAGCTCAGTATAGGTTTAGCTATGGTGCTCAATAGTTTCAGTTTTATTGCACCCTTGTCTCACTCTCTCAGGGTCCCACCGATGCTTTGGGTGTCAGTATAGCGGGTGGTAAGGGCAGTCCTCTAGGCGACATCCCCATCTTCATCGCCATGATCCAGGCCAACGGTGTGGCTGCCAGGACACATCGCCTCAAAGTACGGCATCCTTGCCTTTCCCGTTCCTTTCTGTTGCTCATTTTCCACTTTCGTCCTGTGTAAATCAGGCTGAGAGTTATTGATTAAGCATCATACAGTAGTTTGGGTGTGAAGGGCACTGCTGGGGATTGGGTTTGTATCGATGTGAATGAATTTCAAGTGATTTTTTTCCTTTAATGTACCTCTCTTAGGTAGGTGACAGGATTGTGAGCATCAACTCTCAGTCTCTGGATGGCTTGACTCATGGGGACGTCGTAAATATGCTGAAGAATGCTTATGGCACCATCGTCCTCCAGGTACACGTTAAACTCAATAACACTCTTTGTTCGTTAAAGGGATAGTTCACCCAAAAATTAAAATTACCCCATGGTTTACTCACCCTCAAGCGATCCTAGGTGTATATGACTTTCTTCTTTCAGATGAATACAATCGGAGTTATATTAAAAAATGTCCTGGCTCTTCCAAGCTTTATAATGGCAGTGATAAGGGGTTGAGATTTTGAAGCCCAAAAAAGTGCGTCCATGCATCATAAAAAGTGCTCCACACTGCTCCGGGGGGTTAATAAAGGCCGTATCCATATTTAAAACTTTATAAACTGTAATCTCTAGCTTTCGCTAACTGTCGTATGCACGTTCACGAGAGAGTAGGGTTGGGTACCGAAACCGGCACCGGTACCTATGTAACCGGTATGTACTGGAACCGAATCAGAACGCAGATTTCGGTGCCTCATTTCGGGTCGTATGCACGTTCACGAGAGAGTAGGGTTGGGTACCGAAACCGGCACCGGTACCTATGTAACCGGTATGTACTGGAACCGAATCAGAACGCAGATTTCGGTGCCACCGATGCTTGAGCGATCGATTGAAATATTTGTTCTCTGGTTCTCCGAAATGGACGTAAGAAGCATCCTCACCGGCACCGCACGTGAAAAATTATTTCCCGGCTGAGAAAATTCACGAACGCAAGTCGGAAAGCTCTAATCAAACAAAAAACCTTGCTACGTATACTGTCAGGTGAAGCCCCACCCACGAACCCCACCTCCTACTGTCCTTTTTTTGGAAAACTAAAATATGGTCACCCTATTATAAATATACTTAATTATTATGAAAATACCAGAGATGGCTTAAATAACACAGATAAACTATATTGTCGCAGTCGAGTGTTTTTTGTCTTTGTTTTATCATTCAAAACGTTTATATCTTCTGTTTACTCAGTTACAGCAATAGCAATGCCTTTGTCCATATTAGGGATTTCCTGAGTCCTTTTCCTTCTGTGATACTCATATGGAGTTTCTGCGCGAGGGTGCCCTCTGGCGTCCAGTGTGAATTAAACAGACATTAAATGTGTTTATAGCACTCAATAATGGGCAATCCACCCTATTTTGGGTAATTTTTTATTTTATTTTAATTTTTTTAAGTATCGGTTCAGGCACCTAAATTACATTTTAAAACATATTAAAATAGAAAACGGTTATCTTAAATTGTAATAATATTTCACAATATTACTGTATTTTTTATCAAATAAATGCAACCTTGATGAGCATGAGACTTTCAAAACATTAAAATATTCTTACAGACCCCAAACCTTCGAGTGGTGGTTTATTTAACTTATTCTTTGTTCTTCAAATTTGGATATTATCATAAATATGTTGAAAGTTGGGCAAAGTAATCTATTCAGAATGTAGTTATATCATCTTGTTTATTTGACTTTCTATACACCCAGTTAACATGCATTTTTCCAGTTGTTTTGGTCTCACACTACCTACAACCGCTTTAATTTTACCTTTAAATCAAGATAAAAACTGTAATTAATGAAACAGCCCCAATATAACAAAGCCAAAACAAAGCTATATGTGTACAAACATTATTTGAGGGGTATCTATAGTACTGCCACCTAACCTCCATTTAGTCTCCAATTACAGACTGCATTCTTACTCAGAAGCTGAGCTCAACTGTAAGAACGATGTGACCGAACTTAATCAGAGGATTCCTGATTTGACACAACGGGATACTGTGTATGCAAAACAACGAGGGAATTTCAGCGACCAGAAAAACTCAAACTAATTAAACACTTTGGATGGGTGGATGGGTGGGTTGGAAGAAAGAAACTAAAGCGTGTTTACCACCAAAAATCTCATGACCTGATGTCCTAGAGGAGAAACTAACACCATCTGATGACATAACGGGTAGATGAGCACCATCAAAAACAAGTTTGGTTAGGAAAGGGTTTAGGTTTGGAATGGAGTCATCTACAGCTTCAGAAGAAGAGAAAGGATCTGAGCAGGCAAAAGGAGAGAGAGAAAGAGTCGAACAGGAGGACATTAGAATGAGACTCAAGTTAACACAGAAGGCTACAGCATGCTGAATCTCTGAGACAGTCTCACGCAAAAGGTCTCACCTCCCCATGCCGTGGCCACAGAGGTTCCGGGCTGCATGCTTGAATGAAAGTTAGTCTGGAAGTCGAAGAGGTCGCTCTCCATCTTCAGGGCACTGAGGATCAGAAAACAAAACAAAAATGACTTAATCCCCAACCGATTTAAAGGGACAGTTCACCCAAAAATGAAAATGACCCCATAATTTACTCACCCACAAGCCATCCTAGGTGTATATGACTTTCTTCTTTCAGACGAATACAGTTGGAGTTATATTAAAAAATGTCCTGGCTCTTCCAAACTTTATAATGGCAATGAATAGGCAATGAAAAAAGTACATCCATTCATCATAAAAAGTGCTCCACGCAGCTCCGGGGGGTTAATAAAGGCCTTCTGAAGTGAAGCGATGCGTTTGTGTAAAAAATATCCATATTTAAAACTTTATAAACTGTAATCTCTAGCTTTCGCTAACTGTCGTATGCACGTTCACGAGAGAGTAGGGTTGGGTACCGAAACCGGCACCGGTACCTATGTAACCGGTATGTACTGGAACCGAATCAGAACGCAGATTTCGGTGCCTCATTTCGGTGCCACCAATGCTTGAGCGATCGATTGAAATATTTGTTCTCTGGTTCTCCGAAATGGACGTAAGAAGCATCCTCACCGGCACCGCACGTGAAAAATTATTTCCCGGCTGAGAAAATTCACGAACGCAAGTCGGAAAGCTCTAATAATACAAATCCAACACATCTTTGTAGTAACACGAATGTCCATGTTGTTTTCACATTCCGACTTAAAAGCACAACTCGGGAAATGAGAGCATCTGAGGAGCGCGTGAATGCAGCAATTACTCTTGCTCTGATGGCAGCAGGTAGATACCGTTCTATACTGTAAAAAGCATATGGTAAAAAGGCTATGTCGATTAGCAATGGATTATAAATATACTTAATTATGATGAAAATACCAAAGATGGCTCGAATAACACAGATAAACTATACATTGTCGCAGTCGAGTGTTTATTGTCTTTGTTTTATCATTCAAAACGTTTATATCTTCTGTTTACTCAGTTACAGCAATAGCAATGCCTTTGTCCATATTAGGGATTTCCTGAGTCCTTTTCCTTCTGTGATACTCATATGGAGTTTCTGCGCGAGGGTGCCCTCTGGCGTCCAGTGTGAATTAAACAGACATTAAATGTGTTTATAGCACTCAATAATGGGCAATCCACCCTATTTTGGGTAATTTTTTATTTTATTTTAATTTTTTTAAGTATCGGTTCAGGCACCGTTTAGGCACTGGAACCGTTTTAAAAGTATTGATTTGGCACCGGTATCGGAAAAAACCCAAACGATACCCAACCCTACGAGAGAGTGGTGTTCCAGCGGATGACATAGGACATAGGCGTAGCGGGCCGACATTCGGATGTTTACTATTTGCAGCGGCGTAGCTTATAATGTAGACCACACAAACAAAGCAACCAATTTCTGGCTAAAGGCCTGTTAACACCAAGAACGATGGCTATAATGTAGAGAGTCCGAGCATTTATTAAAGTGGCAGATGACAAAACTGCAGTTCACGCTTATCATACGTTGTTGTGGATGCTAATATTACAGTAAAAGTTATCTTTATAGTTATCGTTCTTGATGTGAATGGGTTTTAAATACCTTTGGGCCAAAACATACAGTACTTTCGCAAGAACACAAATGCAGGCATGACTATTTCGGCAAAAGCGTGGTCCATTGTTCGAACGTAAAGTGCATTCTTGCGTTATTGTTGCATAACTTATTTTAATTAAATTGCTCAGTGGGATTTTCTTCAAATTACTGCTCTGACATGATAGCAATTGACCTGATAGAGAAAGCTTACTGTAGCTACAGTGCCCCCTTGTGTTAAGTTGTGAATTCTTCGCAACAGAGCGATTTGTGAAAGCTAGCTTTATTAGCTAGAAGTGTATTAATTTACATACTGGTACGTTTCTGACTCTTCGTCTGTAAACAATTTTGGATGAACTAGTTTAATGAAGTGCCAAGGCTGCCAAGTATGCAACCTATGATTCAAATTAGTTACAGCGTTCCCGCTCGCTGGCTAGCTAATGAGGGAATGCGTGTTAAGTAATGTGATTTAAAAACACTGTACTTGTTAACAGGATCACTCCAGACTGTCCGTGGGTTGAACTCAGCTTTAAAGAAGCTGTTGGCACTGAACAGACCCTCCGACCCGTTTTGTGTGGCGTGCAGTATCCCCCACATTTATTCCGAACGTTTTAAGAGTCGTTTGGTGGGTTTCTTCTTATTCCCCAGAAATTTCACGTAACACACCGCTAGCTTGATATAGCACTTGGAGTTTGTATATGTTAGCATTTGTTGATAGATATTTGATACGAAGGTCGCCATATTAAGAATACCATGGGGTTTTTTTTGTAAGTGGCGTATTGTGGCGTTTTTGCGTGTAGTAGCTGCGGTTTCAATGATGTGTGTATACATGCTTGTATTCTGTGCTATTATTGCTATGCAGAGCCGTCGTGTGTGTATATGTTCTGTACGGTTATCAGTGTGTGTTAGCGGAGTCGGTGTATCGAAGGACAGTGCGCTGTGTATGTGTGAGCACGTTTGTTTGGACTCACGGTAGTGTGTGTGTGTGTGTGTGAGTGGTTGGTGCTGTGTCACTGGGCTGTTATCAGCTGCGTGCAGCTGTGCGGCAGTTGCGCACGTGTTGCCAGATAATCCCAGTCCTTTGTGCAAATGTACCGTTATCTGTGCGGTTCCAGGAGGAATGCACAGGGCTTTTAAACAGGGGAGCCCAGCCTGCAAAGCCCTGATTACAGCAGCTCAGAGAGCAATTATTGTTTAGCTCGCTCTCTCTCTCTCTCTCTCTCTCTCTCTCTCTCTCTCTCTCACT